AGGTGAGGTAAGCTCTAATCTGATGAAAATAGATCGTGGCCCTGAGTTCATATAGGATAAGCTATATATAAATAAGCAAGGATCTGGTGTTTTAAAGCTTCAGTAGCGTCACATCATCTATTCACGCTATTTAAACAGAAGTAAGGCGTTAAAAAATCATAGTTTTACTAAACCTCAACGGAACGAGTGAAAAGTAACGTTACTCAATACATGTAGTCAAGTAGATTTAGATAATAGTCTAGTCATATTAGCAAATTTCTCCGAAATAATTGTAAAGTCGGGCTTTATTGATGCAAGTTGTTCAAAGGGGTATAAAAGCTGGACGCATAAAGTGGGTACACATTCGACAAGAATGAGAAAACGAACTGAGACGAAACGAATGAGAACTCTTCAAATAAGATTTTTAGGTATTTGAGAGCCCTACCAAGTGAGACCACACGTAAAAAGATCCGACTAATATTAAAAAGTTGGAGGCATATCAAATCTGATAGGAACAATTTCAGTACTCTTGAAAACTATAAAAGATACAATGCTGAATTTTTGAATAATGCATCAGGGACTAATAAAGAGCATTTTGCCTAATTTCTAAGACAACATTTTGAACTCGCTATCGTTTTAATCGACCGAGATTTCGAAAACAGACGTGTACTATATTAATACTTTTAGAAAAAGGTCTAGGGAATTACATTTATTTGTAAAAAAACTGGATTACGTGACCTACTTGACATACTAACTAGTCTAAGCTAGCTTCAAACGTATTGTCTTCAGTTTGCGTGCTAACTTTATAAGCAGTTCAGCGCATTTCAGTATGGAATATTTTGTTTTATAAACTTTAAGGATCACCTGTGGCCGTGTAAAAATTTCAGCTCTAAATCTGTATACACAAGAGTATAAAGAAAAAAAAAATGTTGTTCGTAACAAAAGGTGATCGACTCATCCGCTTTGCTTTAAAATGTGCATAATGTATATTTTTCGAATATCGTAGCGAATCTGTTCAGTTAAATACGTAAACCTTCGTTTTTCGCATAAAAATAACAACGATCTTTCGGAATGGTGACTCACGTGCACGCATCTGGCAACGTTGCCGCCGCTTCCTATATCGTCTGACAGGATAGCGGTAGCGTGCGAACAGAACAATCAAGCAGACCGTTACGCTGGGCGTTGAGCCCAGATAGCAGAAGGAGACGCATATCGAAAACATTTATCTAATCATTTTAAGGACAAATCTATGATGTATGTAACAGGTGCATATAATTAGTGAGATATACCATCTCCATCCTCTACAACATCCAACTTCGGAAACGATTAGGAGCTGCTGAAACATAAAAAAAACGAATTTTGAGAGATTTTTTTTTCGTTTCTGACCTTCTTCAATGTCTAATCTAGATGTTGAATACAATTTGCCCTAGCAAAAATGTTCGATAGCACAGTTGTGAGGTTTGTGGGGCCAAATGTGACATTGACCAACGCCTGGCCCATGACCTTGACATTCAAGGTCCAGTCAAAGTTTCTAAAGGAAAACTGTCATTCCAAATAACGTCCAGTCGCAATCTTGAATTCTTTATGCCAGTTTTACGCTGGAACATAATGTTCATGCATCAATTTCAGCCATCTACGTTAACCCACAGTGTATGTGTTTATAAAAAATGAAAAAGAATCCAAGCCTCTAAAGGGTCCCTTCGAGTAACAACTCGACCTAATATCAATACGTTTCTACCACAGCTTGAAGAATAAGATAAATGTACATAGGAAAATTATACCAAGCGTGTTTGGTTTTGGGCTACGAAAATGTCCATCCCATAAAAGCAAAGTGAAAATGATGACAACAAGCAGTAAATCATTGTTTCGCTTATTTCCTTTTGTGATAACGTAATATGCTACTGCGATAAATGAAACGAACACCAATTATTATAATAACAAACTGTGCCATAACTCGCTATACGGGGAAGATACTATGATAAACTTAGAATACTTCGGTCAATAGAAATATTATATAGGGTGTCCCAAAAGTCGTGGATGAAACGAAAGGTGTGATAGGGGTCATTTCCAATCAGAAAATCTGTGGAAAATCTTTTTCAAAATTATCTTTGTTTCCTCTATCAACTTTATAGGATATATCGCCAAATTATGTTTCGTTGAAAAAGCTATAACTGAAAAATTAGTCCATATAGGTATAGCAAACAGCTGATTTGCCTGGTATATAAAATATTACAGCATATCCAACAAGACCTGTTCAAAATAAATATTTGTTGCCTATTATAGACCACATATACATATGTGTTACAATTACAGTGACAACGATTATAATAAATTCAAGCGAGTACGTACAGCAATGGACAAAAGTATATAGACAAATTAATATTATGCTGTATTGCTTTTTTAACTTGTTTTATTAATACACCAACCTGTATACATAATTCGTTATAGCATAATACTCACTCATACATAAATAAATTCAATAAAAAATTAATTGAAAAAAAATGGAACTATGAAGGACAAGAATATATAGACAAAGCAAAACAATTATAGAAAAAAGAAGCAAAGTTCATTGAATTATAGAAAACCAACCATGTTTGTGTTAATATTTTGTAGCATAACCGTTATTATCAATCACCGCCTGACATCGTCTCGGCCTAGATTGTAGAAGTTTCTTGATATAAGATTCATCAATCTGTCTCCACTTTTGCTCTAAAGCGGCAAAGATTTCATCCTTGTTTCAATAATTTTTATCTCGTATTTGCTTATGAGATTTGAAGTGTGCTTCGGGTCATTATCTTGCTGGAAGATTGATCTTAAGGGCATATCGTCTTCCATATAGGATAACATGACATGGTTTAGTATTCAAACTTGTCCATAATACCCATCTATTCTATGTAAAGGTCCTATCTCAAACCCCGAAAAGCACCCCCAAACCATAACAGACACGCCTCCATGTTTGACTGTGGGCAAAGTGTACTTGGGGTTCAATCTTTGTCCACTAGGACGTCTAACGTAATGAACACCATCTGATCCAAACATATTGATCTTGGATTCGTCACTGAAACATACCCTCTTCCAGTCACAGATGCTCCAATCAAGATGCAACCGTGCAAATTGTAATCGGTCCTTACGGTTTTTCCTCGAGATTAGCGGCTTCTTACTTGGGCGACGTGCAAATAACTTCAAATCATTTAATCTTCTACTTATAGTTTTCGTAGAAACACTGACATGACAATTCCTTTTGTCTCAATTTCGGTTTTTATTTGTCTTGGATCTTTGGACGAAATTACTTTTATTAATCTAACTGATCTAGCATTTAGTTTTCTAGGCCGACCACTTCTCTTAGAGGCTTCCAAGATACCTTTTTGTTTATATTTGTTCAATATTGCCCAAACTGCTTCACGCTTCAGCTTCAAATTTCTGGCAATGTCGACTTGACGTTGACCATCTTTGTATAACACAATGATCTTAGTTTTCACATCAAAAGAAATCACTCAACTTATTCCACAATACTTGATGAACACAAACTAATCCTCTTGTGACACGAAACTGTACTAAACTAATTTTAAAAAGAATTTGTCTGTTTTCTACTAACAACGCATTTGTTTATGGAGCAATGAAGTATGAATTCGTTTTCTAAAGGTATTTAGGTAAATATTCATATTTGTCTATATACTTTTGTCCATTACTGTATATTTCTGGAGTATTTTAAGTAGAGGCTATTGCTAAAGTCGTATTTTATTTTTTCACCGATATCGGCTCATCGGTGTGTCTATTACGTAAATAGAAATCCTGCTGTTAGAGCCTTGCATATAGGGAGTACTTTGTTATTAGCATTCAAAAATGGCGGCGAGTAGACTGACTCTATAATTCAACAACTTCTAGTACAATTTTTTTTTGTAGGGCAATGGCATCAAAAAGACGCGGATTTTGTCAGAACCAAAACAAATCTCTCAGTTTGGCAATGAGCGTGTTCGTACACGGTTGCCTCATTTTGCTTTTACGAGTCACTCGGATCCACTACGAAAGATGGAATATCTACAACCCTGTGGTGTACGGCAAGTGCGACCGATAGATATGCGATCCCTCAATTTTTCTATCCCTATTGTTTTTTTTTTAAATGGATCCTCTGAAATGTCAAAAAACGAAGTTTAAGCGATTTTTAGTTTTTCCTTTTCGGCCTTTTCGTCCGCCACCACTTGGCATAGTAGTAACCTTATGCGGAAATTTCATTCAAATCCGGAGCTGGAATAATAATTAACACACTAACATCGAAAAATTGCGATACGACCCCCACCACTCCTTAACTATTTTTTTGTCAGTAATGATTTGGATTCTCTAAAATGTCACAAAACGAAAATTGAGTGATTTTTATTTTTTTCGTTTTTGGAATTTTTGTTCGCTGCCACTGAACCGACTACAGTTTTTTCATCCTTGGCATAGTAGTAACCTTGTGCACAACTTTGTATCAGCAGACACAAAGAGTTAGACAGAAATGACCGACATGGTCCTTCATGGTATACATTTTACATATATTACATAAAAAAATCATAATATATCATTTTTGAAAATTTTCGCAATTACATACTTCCTCGTCAGTGAAGATGGAAAGTAAAATCGGAAGGACCTAGAAATTGGAAAAAATGAAGATAATCCGCTGGAAATTCGATGAGATGCGATGCGACAGCGACCGCCGTTTGCTACCTGCTTTTGTAAGTGGGATTCATTACCAAAGATGCAACATTTACAACACCGTGGCGCACCGCAAGTGCAACCGATAGGTGCGCAGAATTACCGGGGCTTAATATACTGAGTTAAATAAATTGCGACCTTTTCCTCCGCTGCCACCGAGCTCTTTCGTCCTTGTAGTAGCCTCATGTCCCAATTCGAGCAGTACTTTATAGACAGGGGAAGGATTTGCAGACAGATAGACCGACGGATGGTCATAAAACATCCAAAAAACGTATCTCATTTTCGATTTTTTTGCGTATAATATAATATTTATATTTCTTTTATTGCAGGAGCGGTGTGGTGTAGTTAGTGCAAATGGTAGTAGTCCTTTAGAAAATATGAGAGGCTTGGAACATTATTTAAACGATATTATGAGTCCGCAGAGTAACGCCGCTGACATAAAGGGTAAGTATAATATTTACGTGAATATGAAAGTTTTGGCATTAACAATTTATTCGAGTGACGCCAATGGTGCTAGCGAGCTATTGGAGGAAAAATCGATGCTATTAATTAAATATAGCTTTCAAAACGTTTCCTTTGCGATGTTTTGTGTATTTCGAAGCTCGTTCCAATTTGAAAATAGAGCTATACCGATTTTATTGAATAATGAGTTTTCACCTATAAGCTTATAAATAGGTTAACCGAGTATAAAATATAACCGTACATTATATCTTTGTGACAAACAAATCAATACTCGTAAAATGAGGTGCCGTTCAGTTTCAATGCACACCAGAGAGGGGTGAACACTAAACACAGTATGGGGAAACAGTAATATGTAAATATACACGCTATACACTTTAACCTTTCCACATATTGATGTGGTATCGCTATTACCGATTATAAACTCTGATTTCTTTTACATTACCATTTCTAACGTGGAAAAATGTACTTGGGTCATCATACATATGAATGGCGAATGAACAAAACGGGAATTATCACAGGTTAACATGTGGGGTTTACGAGGTCTGTAAATTAAATCATGAGACAGGCAACGTGGCGCTCGATATGGCAACATTGGAGCGGAACATGTGATCCACCTTCAATACAAGCTTGAACTCGCTCGAGACGTCATATACTAGACCGTCATAAATCTAAACAGCCCACAAGCTCTCTTAAATCTGATAGTTTTGAAGTTAATTGAGACTAAACTTTTAGAACTACAAGGCAAACAAACTTTTAAAATTAATTGATTATATTTGATAATCTTATTACAGTATATTCAGATAAGAGATAGACCGGATGTAAACAAAAGGTTTGGGTGATTTTCACGCTAACGCCGCCGTCTCGACGTAAAACAGGAGCCCTCATTGGTCAATTCGCAATTAAATGCCTATGCCGAGCGGCAGAGCAGTCGTATCAAGGCAGAGTCACATTCAGGTTCAGACGTGTTACGTATGTCGTGTGCATCATTGCAATTTGATATTTCTTTGGACGTTTTCGTTTGTTATCTTATTAAGTTGTTGAGTTTGTCGTTGTTATTGTTATACCTTGTTATTGATTGTTATTGTTATCAACTGCTTGCGCAAAATGCCCAGTAGTACAGATACTGCCGATGAAGTTGTAAACTCCTGTAGTCCACTTAGGAAACGCTCTAAAAAAAGACACCTGAGTGCAGAAATGAAAGAGGTCATTTTGAATATATATAAGATCGAGCGCGAGGAGAACGAGGCATCAACCATCAAAGAAATTGTTGTGAAGGTTTCTCACAAAGTTGGGGTGTGTCGCGCATCAGTGTTTAATGTGTTAAGACAATACAAAAAAAAATCACACCTTTTCTGAGCCAACGACCAGTAAACATCGCAAAAGTATTGTTAAATCATTGGATGAAGCTGATAAGCATGCGATTAGGAGGAAAGTGCACGAATTCTTCTTTAGGAATGAAATACCTACTATAGATAAAGTACTGCAGGAGGTAAATGGAGATACAACGTTGCCAAATTTCAAACGATCAACTTTCCATGCGTTACTGAAGCATTTAAATTTCAAATGGAAAAAACGGGGTCGTAATAGTTTACTACTGGATAGAGAAGAAATTGTGCTATGGAGGAGGGATTATTTAACAAAAATTGGGAAATATAGAAATCAAAACAGGAAGATTTATTACCTTGATGAAACATGGGTAAACGCAGGACACACTACAAGTAAAGTATGGGTTGATGATTCTGTAACTTCATCCAGGAGGGCCTTTCTAGATGGACTGTCCACCGGATTAAAAAATCCAGCAGGTAAATACGAGTAATAGACAACAATCGGATGTTTTTCAAACCTTGGGAACAAGGTTCTAAACATTAATTCCAGGGGGCAGATAAAACATATTACAAGTAACAAAACTTTTATAACTTTCGATAAAATGCGTGGATGTTTTATTGTCATTTTCATTTGTTAGAACTTTTTTAAGCCATGTTTTTATGTCTTTTCGATATTTCAATAATTATTTAATATAACCTTAAAATATGTCGAATATTATAAACTTAAAAAAAGTTACTAAGTTTTATATTGTGTACCGTTCCTAATACTTCTAATCATTCTAATTCATACTTTAAGTTTTATAAAGTTATAATTTGTTAATATTAATATTTGCGCGTATTTCAGGTTCCTGATCATTCATTTTTTAGAGGTTTATAATTTTAAATTAAATTGTGAAGCGCTGAGTAATCATACGACGTTCAATATTCTTTCTTTCAATATGACTAAATAATCCCAATTATAGCAATCTGATACTCATGTCTCAATGTTTTTTCGGTGAATGTGATGAAAACATTTGAAAAAGGTTCGCTTATTGAAATAAATCTACACCAGTTAGTACTTCGATTTCCAGGTAAAGGGAAAAGGCTCATTATCTGCCATATTGGCAGTGAGGATGGATTTGTTGTTGACGGTCTGTGGTGCTTTGAGTCTAAGAAAACTGGAGATTACCACGAGGAAATGAATGGCGAATCGTTTGAACAGTGGTTTTCAAAAATTTTACCGAACTTAGAGGAAAACGCAGTAATTGTGTTGGATAATGCGCCTTATCATTCTCGAAGAATGGAGAAGGTCCCAACAACGGCTTCAAGGAAAGTTGATGTTCAAAATTGGCTCCGCTCGAAAAATATCAACTTTGAAGAAGCAATGCTGAAAGTACAATTATTAAGAATTGTCAAGGATCACAAGGCGGAATATCAAAAATACGCCATTGACGAAATGGCAGCAAGTCAAAATAAAACTGTGCTCCGTTTACCTCCATACCATTGCGAGCTCAATCCCATTGAGCTCATATGGGCAGAGGTTAAAAATTATATAGCTAAGCACAATACAACTTTTAAATTTTGTGACCTCAAAGGACTTTTCAAAGAAGCACTAGAATTAATAACAGCGCAAAAATGGGAAAACTGTATTAAGCACGTGAAAGACAAAGTTGAAAAGAGAATGTGGGAACTGGACAATATTTTAGAGGAACAAGTCGACCCATTCATTATTGACGTTGGTGCTTCAGGCAGTAGCGATGATGAAAGCTCATCAAGCTCATCTTTCCAATAAAAGATGTCGTTCATCAAATTCGGTAAGTTATAAGTAATTATAAAGCTACTGTATTTTTTAATTAATTATTGACATTTTTGAACCCATTTTGGCAAAGCCTATTCAAGAATCTACTTTCTGATAATGTTCAACCATGCACATTTTTTTACGTTTTGAACGTTTTAATTTGGTTACATATTTACCTAGAAATCAAAAAATATACTAATCAATATTCTAAAAGCAATTTTAAGAGATATACGATTATTTTTAATTTAGGCTAATTTAAACGCCATTTTGAGATTATATTCGACTGTATTTCACCAAACATCAGGCGGCATCCGAAGCTGGAAATCGAAGAGAAAATTTTGAAACCCTTATGTATATTTACATCATTATATATTTCTTACCCCACCCCCACATGATCCTATATCCATCACCAATCGTATACACATCGAATTGTGCTAATTTACTACAAAGTTACGCAAAGCAGCATCTACTATCTAAAATATGTACTGCGTGACTCTTAATACGTCCCTGCCGAATGTTACAGCGTTCGATGATCACGTGGTCTTGTTTATGTCCGGCCTATCTCTTATCTGAATATACTGTAGATTCTTAAAAAACCAGTAATAATCGCTAAACAGTTTTTAAGTTCTAGCAGTATATCTGCAGGGTAACTTTAAAACCATTTTTTTGTTATTTACCACAATGAAACTTTTTTAAACATCAAATAAATTTAAAATGTTTTCACGGTAATGTAAAACCACGATATCTCGACACTCTGTTGACATGTGTAATACAAACCGATGTGTCGCTTGCTCATCATCAGGTACTACAATAATTTTATTTATTATTTCACGCATTAATAATCATTCATCACTATGCCGTATAAGAATGAATCAAGGAATCTTTGTCGCAAATCCATTACATTTAATTATAATAAGGATGGTAAGGTTGACTTAAAAATAAATCTATGTTTAGCCTTGTACCCCTAAAAATTTCCTTCCTCCCGTACAGCGAAAAGTTCAGCTTGTATGACGCAGCTGCAGCCCTTATCGATCACTACAAGTCTTCCCGTTATTACGTAAAGAGCAGTGCCGTCACTCAGGGCTACCATACGCTTTTACGCGATAACACACTTTACCTCCCACAATCACAGCTCCCAGAAAAGGGTTATTTAAAATTCTACAAAACATAAAAAGCAAAAGTTACTAGTTGAAATCTGCATAGCTGAGTTTTCGGAAGCATTTATTTGGGTATAATCAGTGATTGACGTATTCTGGGGCGGAGCAAGGTGATATTTTTTTGGGGTCTTTGCTATGTGAACCAACAACATTTTTTGGGCGATTGGTGACGCTATTTGATGTTACGGTTTCGTTTTTTTTTACCGAATTACCTACAATTGCGCATAAATATCCTTATAATTTTTTGTTTCTAGGGATAATGTCACAAAATAAACGTGAGACTGTTATCATAAAGCACAGAAATTTTGTAAGTAAAACTAGGTTTTAAAAAAGGTATAGGTTTTTTATAATCCAATTTCGAATTTGGAATTATTTATACAGTCCACGTGATTGCACGACTTTGGAAGGTCTTAATTCATTTGTTTGAGAAGATTTGCACCAAATCTGTTCTGATCTGATTGAGTATACATTACAGAACAGACTCACGTTTATTTTCTGTCATTATCTCCAGCAACAAAAAAGTTATAACGATATTTATGCACAATTGTGATTCAGCAAAAAAAAAAACGTAAAACGATCATATCTCGGTAACCGTAGCCCTTAGAGCATTGTGGTTTACATCAAAAATCATCAAAATAAATAATGTATGATGAACTTGAAATTATCTGCTAAAAGGTGTCCAGGATCCGTCGCGGGAGGTAGCGGGGTTAAATTGCAGAGTGC